CTATTTTATCTTTCAAACTTTACTCATAAATTATAAACTTGTAACTTGTAACAATTTTTCATGGGACCTTCCAATGATAGGCAAGTTTCGTGACAACGCTAATTATACAGGTGACAAAAATGTGACAAATTTGTCATCTCTGACGACACGATGAGTTGCCGTTATTTGATTCGTTGCTTTATTGTATATATTTTTTTAGGAAGTTTAATATTATATACCTGTTAGATAGTAGTAGATAAGTTAAGAGCCAAACTATTTATGGGAATGGCAAAGTATCAAAACTTTGGTTTAGTTTTCTTGTTTTGTTATTTTCTTGAGTACAAACACCACTTTAGCTCACTTTGGATATGAATAAATAAAAATGTAGAATGTAGGAAATTGCTAAACAATGTCCGCGTTTTTTTAAAATAAAATTACTGCTTTCTTGCTGGAAGTTCTTTTTAACCGCCTTCAAAATTAGGAGGAAGTTCTCAATTTGATTGTATTTGTTTTTGTATGTATGTTACGCGATAACGGCATTTGTGAACCGTTTTTGATGATTTATTTTTTGTTGGAAAGTGGGTGCCTCAATAGCGGTCCCATTTAAATTTGAAGAAAATATTCCACCTCTAAGGATGGCTAACTAGGGGATTAATGACTTTTGAAGTCGTTTCTTTTTAGTACTCTATACTGAGATCGTACGGTAATGTTACGGAACGGGAGCCCAAAGTGTTTTGATACTGACCCCAATAAAAAAAAACTGTATTTAGAGTTTTAGACTGAGAGAAATAAAGGTAGGCTATACAAAGATTTCGCCCGGCCCGGGAATCGAACCTGGGATCTCAGCGTGGCAGTCCAGAATTGTAACCATTCGGCCACAGAGGCAGTTATTATTCTCCCTAGGGTTCAATTTGTGCCTTTAATATAATAAAGCCATTTAATATAATAAAGCCAAGTGCTTTCGTCACATGAAAGTCATAAATATTTATTGAGATTTTCTGTGAAATAACTCTACTAGTTTTCTGATGATTATAGATAGAATACAAAGACCGAAAGTACAAAAAAATGTGTTATTGTTATAGAGCTCTTTGTACTAGCTTTCGGCATTCGTCGCCTCGAGTAACATCTAGTGCGAGATTTTTGAATAACCTTCTCACCGCAGCCGACACCTTTACACATCAAGTATAAACCGGAAATAGAGACGAAATAAGGGCCATACATTGCTGGCAACTCGTCAGTGATACGTCACTTATAAATATCAACTCTCGTTTGCACTGAAATTACAAATTAGAAAGCTATACAGCGCCAACAACTGACCTGTGTGTACGTCTCCTTATATTCCAATAATATTTTGTATTTATTATAATAAAGATAATATCTCTAACTATGGGGTGTTGTTCCATTCGGTGGTGTGGGAGAAAACAGCAAAACATCTAATTACAAAACAAACGGAATCAAATTTAATCAGTAATTAAATATGTAATTTTGCAATTTTCCTCCATTATAGCAAAGCTCAAGACTGATCGATTTGAAGTGAAACAATTGACGGCACCCGTCAATTGCTTCGAATTCGGGCTGGTCAATCGGAGCGTAGTTGTCACAGTCATGATATGGCAGAATAGTTTTCAAACAAATTAAATGACATTTCGTCTCTATCGTTATATACTCGATGCTTTTACAGGTATCACCACAGACGCAGATCTCGCTTTTCGATGAAATGTATTTATTACCACTATGTACCAATTATTATTCACGGTACAATGATTCGCCAAAGCAACAACAGCCACGTGTCCAGTTTTATTTAAAAAAGAAGCAATCATCCGCTTACAGGCACTTTGCACGCGCGCCACTTTGGTTTCGGCTCATCTCAAAAGCTCCGACACTCGATTGCTGCTTTGTTTTGCGATCGTAACTATAAATCCATGTTTCGTCACCTGTTACTATGTACCACACCAAATTTGATGCCCCTTCGTTGAATCTGGTAAGCACGGCACTGCACCAAGTGACGCGATCCGTTTTTTGAGCCTCAGCCAAATTGTGTGGGATCCACCGAGAGCACAGCTTTTTCACACTCAAATCTTTGTGTAGTATTCATTGACTTACAAATAAATGGACGACGGGTCTAATACAAAAACGACGAAAAATGTCCCAAGTCAACCTATTTAAACGTAGTGACATGTAAAGGAATATGAAAAACTAAAACGTTGAATTTAAATTGTAATGTCATCGCAGTACTGTCTAATTTTGCTTGCTTCGCTGTCAGTCGAACAAACGAAGACTAAAGCGTGAATGACGACCTGCATACGATTTTAACGCCATGTAAGTTCGGACACTTTTTAGCGCGGACCCGACGTCCATATAATTGTAAGTCAATGGTAGTATTGATTGTATTTGATTGATGCCTATGCCTAAAGCTGCCCGAATCTCATGGTATGTCACATGCCTGTCTGTTTTGATAATACGACGCACAGCATCGATGTTTGTGTTGTTCACAGCAGTGGACGGGCGACCATCACGAAATTCGTCACTGAGATTCACACGACCGCGTTTGAATTCTGCAAACCAGCTATAAATAATCGTCTTGCATGGTGCTTCATCGCCAAAAGCAGTTTGAAGCCGAGCTGTTAAATTACACTTAGAAAATCATACTACGAAAATTTTCACGAGTTAAATCCATGGTGATGTAGGCAACCAATTTCTAAAATGACGCCACAATGTCAAAAAACAAGTGACAGTCAGATGAAACTAACTATATTCTATAGCCATAGAGATTAATTTTTAAATGTTGTAATTACTTTTTAAATATTGTTTATGTAAGTGGCCAGTTCCGGAAATGTATAGTGCGCCCCAAGTATATTTTGTGAAATAACTCCATTACTTTTGTTGTAGCTTTGTATTCTTAATCATATGTATGTATAAGTCAAATTTTGTAACTCTCTTAATTGAGTATAAAAAAGTTATTGACTAATTTCGTTTCATTTCAAAATCTCACTCCTGTAAAGTTGTCTTCTTGCAGATGTGGCGTTATTTACAATAAGAGTGCGAATTGCAGAAAAAAAATCCTAGGAGCTAAGTGAATACGGTGGGTGGGAGGTCCCTGATTTCGTCCTGGGTAATCCCACCTTACTGTATTATAGTCAACTAATCTTTAATGCTTCTATTACTGAAAGCTAACTGCCAGACGTTGTACACGGGCGCCCTGTGGACCAGATATTCTAGAAAAATAACGTTCACTTTCCGTGTACAGTTTATCAATGGTTCCAGAGTGCTTTTGGTACTACCGCGTCATTGTAGTGCATCTGGCATGTTCACAGACGCGCGGGCTGATGACTTTCATGCCATGATGAAAAAGAAGACAGCATCCTTATTGCAGAGAACACGTAGCAGTTCCAAGATCATTCTGAAAATTTTACTTGTAAAATAGCGTAGCCCATGTTTAAGCATTTTGTTGGCGTATTGGTATGGCAACCCACTAAAAATTTGAAATAAAACTAAATGTGGATTAAGCGAGGAGTGCAATTTTTATTTTATTTTACTCCAATTTTAATATTTATTTTTGTATATTTTATATAATTTCAATTTACAATATTTTATGTGATTTGATTATAATATTTAAATTTTCAGTTTTTAATTTTATTTTTTTTTTAACTTTTTCATTTTCAATTTTATTTTCGATTGTATTTTATTATATTTAGAAATATTGAACTTTAAAGTAATATAGTACCTAAAGTTTTTGTAAACTAAGTGGACCTATGTTACCTTAAATAAATAATAATAATATTATTATTTTACATGACAACGCCAGAGCGTATATTGCTGAACGGCCATCTCCACCTTACTGGAGCTTTTTTTTATGATACCTAATGACGGGACGAACGAGTCTTGTGCCCAGTGGCAAGCGACACGCCTGTCCCTAACTGACAAAGCTCTGAAGGGCGCTGCCATTGCACCCCTCACCCTGAAACATAAGTTGACAAGGCCCCCATGTGCCTATAATTTTACCAGCACCCTTAAAACTGTAACAGGTAAGGTGGCAACACTTCCCTATACCAACTCTTTCACAAGGAACTCTACTGCCACTAACGTATTGTATTGTAACGTACATTACGTCACACGTCGCAGACAATACGTGTGAATAAATAATAAGTAATTAGTGTGTTATTACACTATTATGTATGTTTATTACGTATGTGTTTGTGGATACATAGTATTAAAAAATCGACCTCAAAAGTGCGTGGAATTACATCTATTTGCTAGTTTTATTGAAATCGGTTACCGGAAAGTGCGCGAAACCGGATTCATCCCCTAGTTTGTCACCCTTAGGGGTGGAATATTTTGTTCAAATTTAAATGGAAATAGTACTGAGGTACCCTCTTTCCAACAAAAAAGAATCACCAACGTGACATACATACAAAAAAACACACAGTCGAATTGAGACCCTCATCCTTTTTTTTTTAAATCGGTTAAAAACATTGAATTTTTCAGCTTTGTACAGCATGAACACACCTACATTCAAAATCTAATAGTTTCAATATAAATAGTCGACCAGTTTTGTTAACTGCCCAATTTAATTTGGCCTTTGGTTTGTCTTATGTTATGCTAGCTACGAAACAATTTCCTGTCTCAAATCTTCCCCCCCTCCCCCTTTTTCAAGATAATAATAGAACCAATAGTATCAGTGACGGACGGTCAAAGACAAAATAAAATAGAATACCATACAAGCGAATTTATAATTTGTATTAATGGCAATATTATTTGGATATTGTATTTCTTATGATCTGCGAAAAGTATTATTATAATTATAACCTAAAAAAATAAGTTATTTCTTAGTTATGGCAACACCACGTCTCGCATTCCACTTAAGATTTCAGCTCAATGTCCACGACAACACGGTTTAAAGTTGAAAGACCAGCATGCTGGTCGTGTGATATGAGGGCGTAACTTTGGCACAATGCTTTTGCCTTTATCTAAGCAGTGTTATGTAAGAATAAAAACTACGATAAAAAGTACAAAAAACTCACCTGCAGATTTGCTCACAGGAGGAGTAACCGGCACAGCGGCTGTAGTCGCTGTATTTGGAGGGTACACAGGATCGCAGCACTCCCTCTCCGGAAACTCGCTCCCTCCCACTATAGTCGCCAACAGCACCACTCCAACCACCCTCCATATTCGTAAATGCCCCCACATCGATAATTTTAAACCCCCCACTTTAACATGAGACGAACTCAAGTTACACGACAAAGAACCCACGTTAATGTTGAACGAACTCGGTGTTTGTACCAAAGAGCTTACTTTACCGCGTGACGAACACCCGTTGCAATGTAACGAACTGAATTTTTCTGATGACGATCTATTTATCCCCACTTGTTTTTGCATTCGAAAGTTCTCCTCTTTCTTTTTACCCCCTTCCGTCCTTTTTTCGTTGTCATGGCCACAGTCCCTTCTTGTCATCGGTTTGTTTCACATCACACTTTTTTCTGTTAGTTCTTTTTTATTTTTCTCTACATAAATTATTTTTCTCTACATAAAATGATATGTATTATCTTTATAATTGACTTTTTCGAAAATCTTCGCAAATTTTAATCTCTTTTTTGTATATGATAGTAAATATCTCTCTTTTTGTTTAAATCTGTAAACAAAAGACAAGATAATTAAAGAAAAATACAAAAAACACTAAATAAGTTTTAAAGCAAAGGCAGTTATAATGTGGTGTATATCATTGGGCTAAAACCATTTATAAAAGCAAACGGTACAATACACCATCATTTAACAAGAACCTTATTAAATATTTCTCAACAGTGACGAAGTGCGTATTGTGGTATAATAACGGTTATTAGTAAAAGTTAAACATACCTACTGTCGATTATAGGCGTAAAATTGTTTCCAGATGACCTTTATACTCATCTAGTGACCTTTAGCTAGTCCAAAGTACATGAAACTACTACATAGGTGCTTATGTAATAATGAAGCCTATAAAGTAACACATACATAAACGATTTTAATAATAGAACATCTAATAAGACTACTGACGACTTCCATGGTCGAGTGGCTTGCACAACGGTTTTCATGATGTCGCCATCTCTGAGGTCCTAGGTTCAATCCCCGGCCGGGTTAGTGCAGAAAAGCTAATTTTCTATATTGTCTCGGGTCTGGATGTTTGTGGCACCGTCGTTGTTTCTAATTTCCATAACACAATTGGTTTAGTTACTTACTTTGAGACTAGAGCAACGTTAGAACAAGATTAGCCAGTGAGAAAAGGTGTTAGATTGTATCGAATAGCAACAATCGCCAAATGTAGACTTATTGCAGTTAGATGTGGCCAAACCTATTTAAAAAAATCTTCACTATTTATTGTTATTATGTGTGCAGTTCATCCTTATCTATACTTTATCTATACTTCATGTATTTTGAAATGAAATATTTTATGTGGATTTGGTACCATTATGACAATGTAATCATAGCTTTAAGTTTAAATTGTATACTTTAGTCATTTTACTGGAGCTTGTCGAGACACGTCAGAATTATTATATTATTAATATTACAGAATTAAATGTAGCGTTTCACCAAAAAGGTAAAGTCTGAAAAACAGCTCAAGCTGAGACTCTTGCCTTTTTTATCTACATGTATAACTTCAGATTATGTTATTTAAGGCTAAAATATTATTTAATGTAGATAAATAAAGCTCTCTTCTTATTATTATTATTAACCTTTTTTTTCATAATGCCATGTGATGGAATGAACAAGTCGTGCGCCTGATGGTAAGCAACTCGCCGATCCATAGAAGTGCCACTCAGAGTTTTCAATCGCAAAGATTCCAGGGGTACTACCACTGCGCCCGTCACTCTGAGCATAAGTTGACAAGTCCGGTGTGCCTCCAATTTCACCAGCAACCTGGTAAAATTACAGGCACATGGGACTTGTCAACTTATGTCTTAGGGTGACAGGCTCAATGGTAGTGCCTCTCAGATCTTTGCAATTTAAAGCTCTCAGTGGCACTGACAGTTGTGTAGCATACCATCAGGGGCACGACTTGTTCGTCCGGTCACTTATGATGTTAAAAAAAAACATATACTTTGGTCTTACTCACTCGTTGATAGCGCCCACCCGAACCCATTGATACAGTTCGTTATATATTTTGGTTCTATATTAAGCTTTAACTGTTTTTCGAGTCTCCTTGTAAAGTTGTGTTTTTTTACTTGTACCCCTTTTCACTAGCGCCACAGATATGTTTAGAAGACAAGACACAACAGGTGATTGCGCCTTATTTATGGCCATTAATTTTCGTACACAAGTCGAAAATAGGTTTCTGAGATAAGAAGTTTTTTTTTTATATTGCTTTACTTTTTAGTTTATGAGACACAATAAATAATACAGAATAGAAATAATTCGACATGTCGTGAAAATAAGAGATATTTGAAAAGTGGTCTGTGCTAACCAAGTTGTCAATGACGTGGTGAAAATAAAAGATAATAGAAAAGATGTTTCACGTACACATACTAGTTTTTCTTAATAATTAATTATTACAAATTTTGTTTAAATTGTATGTATGTTCGACATATTTTTCTTACTTAGAATAGAATACAATTCATTTATCACAACGCCACAACACAAAAATACACAGAAAGAAAGAAAGAAAAAAAAGACAAAACAAAAAATAAAATAAGAAAAAAACAACGAAACAAACATATCAAATTTTAAATAGTCAACACAATTTGTATAAACGTCATGTGTGCGACTATGTGCTGTGCTATGTGCGTATGCAAAAGGATTCACTAGCCGAGTAAAGAGTGTGACGCTGAATTTCAGTGGACCCTAATTGAATTGAATGAAAAAGTTCGACATTGGTTAAAATTTTGTCGGCTCATCTCCATAACATCCTGTACGTATTTTTTTATATAGAATATATTTTCATATATACCTATATCGACTTCGAACACAATGATCAAAATATTTTCCTTCGCTTACGATCTTCCCATGGGATTGGTATTTCTACAAAGTTCTGACGTTAATACGTAAAATAATATTATGTAACATGTATATGCTCCAAGGTATTATGTTTTGCAAGGTAGTATGGTAGTTATATAATTGTAATTAATATATCCGTTCATAATACAGACAATGTGTACATTATCCATCATAATCCAGCACATCGGCTCAATACGAGATTTCACATCTTCCGTGACCCTTATTTTTCTGCGACTGACTTTACAGTTTGACAGACGTGTACAGACAGACGATGAGATCAGTTTTTTTCTTTAGTTAGATTCTTTCGTTTTTTTTATGACCCGAGTGACGGGACGCACGAGTCGTGCGCCAGGCGTTAAGCGACACGCTTATCCACACTTAGGCGCTGCGCAGATGGAGCAACTTTAATCATCGAGTTCCGGCAACTGGCAATCCGCAATCTAGCTGTTTGACGTTTTTCTTATAATTTCAAGAAACGCGCAGACGTAGTAACTTCAGTTGAGAGTTTCGTTAATCGTCTATAGTATTCGATTGCCGAAATCCGTTATTAAATAAATTCTTAATTGACGCAACTAGAAACTTGCAAATTTTTACCGGTTGTTTCCGTGAAGCAACTTCACTCCCTCCCCGTGCCCCGCAGCGCCAGTCTAGACCGTGGATTTCGAAAGTTTATTTTAAATTGTGGCAACCGACGCGGCACCTAGATCTTTTAGTTGCTGCAGCCGGCGACTGTTGATGGAAACTTGTACAAAGTTGCCAGTTACATCAACTAAAGTTGCTCCATCTGCGGAGTGCCTAATGAGGGACACGGCTGCTGTGCTTGTAACCTTGAGATATAAGCTGGCAAGTCTCATCTTCTTCTCGAGGTGCCATCTCCTACCGGAGGTCGGCTATCATTAGGGCACTCTGTATTTTAGACACAGTTGCACGGAACAAGGATCTTGTGCTCAGTTTCAACCATGTCCGGAGATTCTTAAGCCACGAAGTATGCCTTCTTCCAGGTGGTCATTTTCCCTGTATCCTTCCTTGCATAATTAGTCGGAGCAGGTCATATTTATCATTACGCATTATACAACCAAAGTACCGTATTGATGTTCAATTATTTTTATGTGAAATTACTCCACTAGTTTGTTATAATTATTAATACAAAGATCGAACACAGAAAAAACCTTCGATCCGGCCGTGTCTTTGTACCTGGTTTTTCAACGACTTTTTAGCTGCAGCGCCATCTATGAGAAATCTATGAAAGTATTTCGTCTCCCACTCACCTTTACAGCTACTGGCCCCGGCTAGAGATGTCGCTATTCACTGTTTTTAAATTTTTATTGCATTGATATTCTATTATTTTTTATGTGAAATTACTCCACTAGTTTGTTATAATTATTAATACAAAGTTCGAACACTCAAAAAAAAATCCAAAAGTACAGTAGTTTGCGTTTTTTGACAGGTCAAGTCTCATGTGCCTGTAATTTCACTAGAACCCTTACCCTTCCAACCGGAATGCAATAATGCTCACATAACTGCTTGGCCGTAGAAATAGGTAAGGTGGCAGTACTTGCTTACGTACCTACGTACCCGGACGAACTCTTTCACAAGAACCTCTACTGTTACTAAGTTTAATACGTCACTTATTGAGAACTACTGCACAGACTCTACAGAGAAAAATTCAATTTTTTTTATCTTATCAACCGACGGCACTAGCAAGTCGTGCGCCTGATGGTAAGCGACACGCCTATCCATTGCAGTGCCATTCAGAGATATTCATCTTCAATATAAATTATTGTATATTATTCAAATATTGTCCATGAACTAAAATTATTTTCTGAACTTTGACAGATATAAAATAAAAAAATAACATAAAATCGTATTTATTTGACATGCAAAATACATTATAAAATACAAACAATTATAAAATATCAAATAATTCGTTCATAAATGATAAAATAAACAAAAAACAAAACAATAGAAAAAATAGTAAAATTTAATAATAATAAAAGAAAAAAAAATTAAAACAAAAAAGCGTGTCAAAAAGGTCCATGACTCAGCATTTGAGGACTATGCTAATTACATAGCCCTCGCTGATATTCTGCCATAGCCTGTCATAGAAATAGACGACCACAATTAAAAAAAAAAATACTACAAAAAACAAATACTAATACAATCAAGGCAGCAAATAAATTAAATTAAATTTGACACACAACATTTTCACATGAAAATAATCA